TTAGAAAATTTTTTTTTTTTACAAATAATATAATAATTATTATTAATATTATATTTTTTATGTTTATTGTTATTAGTTGAATTTCTACAAACATTTTTTTTTGCAAAATTATTATTTAAAGTGTGTTTACAATGTTTATAAAGAAATGCTCTTTCTCATATTCAAGTTGTTTAAATAAAAAGTGCACCGAGTCTTAAAGGATTTAAGTGGCACAATCCACTTTCTATACGTGTTACAAACAAGGACTGGATTTATTAAAGTCTGTTAATAATTCCATATAAGAAATGTCTGGTTATCACTATTCTCGTGATTAAACATCTGCTTCGATAATAATTAAATAATGCATAATTATTTAAAAAAAAATTGTTGCAATTTTTTAACTTTATTTTTTTTTTTTTGCAATTTCAAGCACATGATTTTAAATTCAATAAAATTTAATGGTATTTTTTATTATTTATAGTAACATATACTAATAATAATAATAATAATAATAATAATAATAATAATAATAATAATAATAAAAATAATATTAATAAAATAATAATAATAAAAATAAAAACCTGTCGAAAGAACTTATTTTTCTTTCGCATTAATTTTTGAGTTAAAAAATATTATTAAATTTGAATTTTTGTTAGAGAAAAAAAAAAGTAAACAATCTTTAGAAACAAAAATTATTGTTAAAAAATGTATTTATTTATGATTGAGGGGAAAAATCTTTGCGGATTAAATTTAAATAACGATCGAATTCAGGAAGTTCTTGAATGCTTATCATTTCCTTTAATCTCACGATCACGTTAGCATTAATCACGCTTCAGTTATGTTTCTGATTATTTTCATTAATTTACACGATTTACACAAAACTATAGTTGATGAACTCAATATATAATTTGAATTGTAAAAAGAAATGAAAAATTCACTGCAATTTTCTATTTTTAAATTATTATTATACTCAATATTATATTATTTATTTAATATTATTGAAAATATAAAATATAATTCAATTATTTTCAAAAAGAAAAAAAATAGTAAAATAGATCGCGGGAATTCAATTATTCAAAAAAAATTTTTTAGTAACATTTTTCGAAAGAATTCAATTATTTTCAAAAAATTTTTGATAAAATTCTTCGCAAACAATTAAATTATTTTTATAAATTGTAAAATTCTTTGCAAGAATTAAATTATTTTTCTAAATAATAAATAATTATTAATAATAATAATTATAAATAATTATTATTTTAAAAGAATTCAAATATATACAAAAAATAATAACATTTTAGAATTATTATTTAACAAAAATTTAACAAAAAATCTTGGAAATTCAAGTTTTAATAAAATTTCTGGAAAGGTTTCAATTATTTTTTTAAAAAATTCAATTATTCTCAAAAGTTTTGAAAATTTTTTTTGGAAATTTCAATTATTTTCAAAATTTTCAATAAAAATTATTTAAAAAATTTTTTCTATTTTTAGATTATTATTATATTCAATATTATATTATTTATTTATATTTTACATATTGTGAAAATAATTCAATTATTTTTATAAATAGAAAAATTGATCAGAGGAATTTAATTATTTAAAAAAATTTTAATAAAATTCTTGCAAACAATTTAATTATTTTTATAAATAATTGTAAAATTCTTCGCAAGAATTAAATTATTTTTCTAAATAATAAATAATAATTCAAGTATATGCAAAAAATAATAATATTTTAGAATTATTTAACAAAAATTTTACAAAAAATCTCGGGAATTCAATTATTGTCAATATATAGTTTAAATAAAATTTCTGGAAAGGTTTCAATTATTTTTGAAAGAATTCAATTATTTTTAAAAGTTTTGAGAAAATCTTTTGAAAGTTTCAATTATTTTCAAAATTTTTTCAATTAAAATTATTTTTAAAAAAATCAATAAAATCAGTGAAATTCTTCAAAAGAATTTTAATAAGGATTTTCAAAAATTTTTATATTCTTATTATTATTGTTGCAATATTCGAAAGAAAAATCGAAAAAGTCAGAATTTAAAAACTTGAAGGATTAAAATTCTCTTTTTGAAGTTTCCTCCTCTGTTTTTCTAACTGATTGTTTAAATCTTTTGTATGGATATTCAAAAATTTAGTAATAGATTGTTTTCATTTAAATTTATATATAAAAGAGTAGGTGCATTTAAAAAAAAATGTATACAATAAATGAAATGACGTGGCATAAAAAGAAAAACGTGGGATAACCGGTCGGAGGGAATATAAGGAAAGGAAAGTCGTGACTTCTGATCGTGGGCGAGGAGGAATCGTTGGAAACCTTTTTGAAAAAAAAAAATAAATACAGAATTACTGACAAAAATTTTATACAAAACAGACTCTATAGAGTCTTTTTTTTTAAATAAATTTTTTAAAATCTAAAATTGCAAATTTCAGATTTTTTAAATAGATGAGAAAATTTTCAGAGGAAAAAAGTTTTTTTCTTTTTGGACCAAGTGTATAATTTATAAAGTTAGTGGGAATTAAAAAAATAAGGACGAAAATTTATTATAAAAGAAAAGAAAATATATATAGTATATATTCTCTCCTATTTTGTAGAAGTCGTGCTCTGAATAGATATAACAAATCGTAGGTGTCTTCAGAATTATTCATATGAAGTGCAAATGTGAAACGTATAATATAAACTTGACTCTATAAATGTAGCAATAGAAGAAATAGAGATTTTATTTAAATTTATTTGAAATATATGAGATTGTTGTCAAAGAAATATTATTTTTGCTTTTATCGCAATTTTCAACATCGCTAGTTATTTATTTACTTTGTCAATTGAATCTTAAAAAATTATAATATAAACAATTCTAAGAATTAGTTTTCAAAAATATTTTTATGTAATTTTTCGAAAATAAAATTGAATTTCTTAAAAGAATTTTTGTATATCCAATTAAAAAAAAAGGAAATTAATTAATTTTTTTATGAATTTTAATTAAAAATTTTAATTACACGATTTTTTTCCAAAATAGCTAAAAGTAATTCTAAAATGTTATTATTTTTTTATGTATTTGAATTATTATTGTAATTAAAAATAATGAAAATATTTAATTTTAAAAAATTAGAAGCTAATTTTCATTTTTAAATTTACATTTTTAAAGATTTTTTAATTAAAATTTTTGATAATGAAAGAATTTAAATATTTAAATTCTTGCGAAGAATTTTATAAAATTTTTTAAATAATAGATTCTTTCGACTAATTTTATACCAATTCTTATTTAAATAATTGAATTCCTGAGAAATTTTTATTATTCATGAAAAGAATTGATTTCTTACGAAGATTTTTGCAACAAATTTTACAAAGAATTCTATTAAAATTTTTGAGAATAATTGAATGTCTGTGTGGCATTTTATTAAATTTTATTAAAAATAATTGAATTCCTGGGAGGAATTTTATTATTTATGAATATAATTGAATTCTTGTGAACGATTTTATTAGGACTTTTGAAAATAATTGAATTTCCAAGAAAAAATTTATTACTTTTAAAAATAATTGAATTCTTGTGATGAATATTGTTATTTATGAAAATAATTGAATTTTTCAAAGAATTTTATTAAAATCCCTCAAAATAATTGAATTTTCGGGAAAAATTTTGTTATTTATCTTGAATAATTAAATTCTTTCGAAGAATTATTTATAAAAATAATTGAATTCTTGCGAAGAATTTTATGAAAATCTAAAAAAATAATTGAATTATTTGAAAAAAAAATTTAATTAAAATTGTATTTAAAATAATTGATTTCATTCGAAGAATTTTATTAAAACATTTATAAATAATTGAATTCCTGTCATAAATTTTCTAATATTTTTGTAAATAATTGAATTTTTCCAAAGAATTTTAAAAAAACATTATTTTAAATAATTGATTTTTTCGAGGAATTGAAATTAAATTTTTAAGAATTTTTTTAAAACATTTTTTGAGCAATTCTCTTAAAATTGTATTAAAAAAAATTGAAATCCTGCGATGAATTTTATTATTTATGTCAATAATTGAATAGTTGCAAAGAATTTTATTAAAATTTTCAAAAATAATTGAATTCCTGAAAAGAATTTTATTATTTATGAAAATAATTGAATTATTGCGAAAAATTTTATTTAAATTGTTTAAAAAGAATTGAATTTCAGTGAAAAATTTTTTTATTTTTTAAAATAATTGAATTCTTCATAAGAATTTTAATAAACAATGTTTTAAATAATTAATTTTGTCGAAATATAATAAATATTATGAAAATTTAATTTTAAATAATTGAATTCTTGTGGAAAATTTTATTTGTGAAAATAATTGAATTTCTCAGAAGAATTTTATTATTTACAAAAATAATTAAATTCTTGCCAAGAATTTTACAATAATTTATAAAAATAATTGAATTTAAATAATATTTTTAAAAATAATTGAAATTCTTTTGAGAAATTTTTTTAAATTGTATTCAAAATTATTGAATTTTCATAGAAAATGTTTTTATTACTGAAAGTAATTGAATTATTGTGAAGAATTTTATCAATATTTTTTTAAATAATTGAATTCTTCCGCAACATTTTATGAGAATACTAGATATATATTTTGTATTTAAATAATTGAATTCTCATAAAACTTTCGGAAAATATTAAAAAGTAATTGATTTAGAGATGAAGTTTAGTTAAAATTTGTAGGAAATAATTGAATATCTAATTCTTTTTTCCATGATTGTAAAAATAAAATGCAAAATTAATAATTGAAAAATAATTCTAAAATTTAAATTACATTTCAATTACAATTAACAAGAATAGAATTAAAATTGTCGAAAGTATGAAAATTGAAATATTTCGCATCTTTCCTTAAAGAAAAAGAAATAATTTTATTTTTCATAAACTGATTTTCGTCTGGAACAAAAAAAAAGAATTATTAATTTTAAACAATGAAAAGCAGAAAAGCAGGAATTCAAAGAAAATTAATCTTTACTTTTCGAAAGTCAAAAGGGATCGAAAAAGAACGAAAAAATGATGATTAATGAAGATTTATTCAATTCTAAAGTCACGTATAAGAATCAAGAATACATTGTTGAAAGACAAATTTTCCTAATGTTTAAAATTAATTAACTAAAAATTTTATCAAATCTATAATAATAATAATAATAATAATAATTCTCGACCAGAAAAGTGATCAACTTTTCTCTTCTCCTTTTCTTATTTAATTTTTTTTTTTAAATATTTATTTCAAAAAAGTACACGACGTTACAAAAGCGAACGAAATGATAAATTTTCGCTAATCTTTATTTAGTTTACAATAAGTTTCATATCGACGTAGTTTTTAAATCGATCACTCATTTAAATAAATATTTACGTTCAGTAAAGAAAAAATAAAAAAAAAAGTCATTAAGGTGATGATCATGATTATGAACTTTATTTCAAATTATATTCGTGACTCGTTTTTATTTAGCGTAACATACATTTTTTTATACTTTGAAAGCACTTTAGGATAGACAATTTACTTTGAACACATTTCATTAATAGACGCGCTAAAATAATCCACCGAGTCTCGAATACAATTTTTTTTCTTTTCTCTTCATTTTTCTATATCTTATATACTTGACACAAAAATCATTATATAAATCCCTAATTTGATCCCTTGACAATTACCAAAAAAAAAAAAAAATATATATATATATATAAAGACAGGGGAATATATTTGAAACTTAGCAAATTTTACATAAAAATTACACTACAAAAAAAATATAATAAAAAATAAAATTAGGGGGGGAGGGAAGGATTCAGTGCAGTGTTTTTCTTTGGGAATTTCAAACGGAAATAGTGTTTGATTTTGGATATTTTAATTAATTAATAGGTAAGAATTGCATCAAAAAAAAAAAAAATTTTGCTTTCTTTTTTTTTTTGAATCGAAAAAAGTAAATATTGCTTATCATGAGTCTTGTTGACTTCTACTTAGAGCCCTGTCATATTCGTCCTTCAGGTGTTTCTTGTACTTTGTTTGATCGCTCCAAAGTTCCGCAGCTTGAATATTAAGGGGACTCTCATTATTTGGTTCTGTCAAGCAAAACAATACAATTGTTAATATAACGAGTTAAGCAAAACTGTGTTTGTTCTGTACTTAATCCTTTTAAAGGCACGTTTTCAACTTAATTACGTCACACCATAAATTTTTCAAGTGACGCGCGACATAACAATGACGTAAATTCAAAGAAATTTCTATTTTAATATATTTTTTGAATTATTAATATTGAAAAAAAAAATTAAACTTGTTGCAGGCTTCGCACTTGTTAATTTAGTTTATTAAAAAAGCAGCAGAAAGTAATTTTAAGACTGAAAAGAAGTAGTAAAAAAGTAAAAAAAATTAGTAAAAAAAAGTAAAAAGTAGTAAAAAAAAAGTAAAAAAAAAGTAGTTATCGAAAAATTAAATTCAACTACTAAAAAAACTCGTCAAAAAAAATTTATTTATCAATTTCGCTGATTTACAGAAAGAATATTAACTTCTTTTCTTATCTAGTTAACAAATTCAATTCTAAATTTTTCTAAAATTCAATTATTTTCTTGTCCTGAAGTTTTGAACGTTCAAATAAACGAAATTTTTTTTCTATTTGAACATTTTTCAAAATTTTTATATAAAAAGAAAAATAATTAAAATTGAATATTTTCCTAGTTAAAAATTAATCGTTCAAATAAACGAAATTTTTTTTCTATTTGAATGTTTTTCAAAATTTTTATATAAAAAGAAAAATAATTAAAATTGAATATTTTCCTAGTTAAGAATTAATTGTTCAAATAAACGAATTTTTTTTTCTATTTGAATGATTTTCAAAATTTTTATATAAAAAAGAAAAATAATAAAAATGGAATATTTTCCTAGTTAAAAATTAATCTTTTTAATAAACAAAATAATTTTTTTTATAACAGAATACAAATTTAAAAAAAATAACTTTGTCGTTCATTTAAACGTTAAAAACTTTAGGGGCATTTTATTTTCTCCAAATTTTCAATTTAAATTCTTCAAAAATACAATTTTATTTCAAAATAATTTTTAAAAGTGGGAAAAAAAAACATTAAATTCCTTTAAAATATAAAATTTATTCCAATGAAATTTGTCAAAATTTTCCAATGGTTTCAAATTTTTTTAAATTTTATTTTATTATTTAAAAAAATTATTTTTGAGAATTCATCTATCTTCAAAAAATTTTAATTATAAGTTTAAAATTTTTACTGTAACTCATTTAATAATAGTTTAATTTCTAGAAATTTGATTATGGGTAAGAATTCCTGAAGTGGGCCCCTATTTTTCATTGGGTCGGTGGATTTTTCTCATTCTTATATGTTTCGATAGCCTATGATGGCATAATAAAAACTTGTAAATAGTTTTCCGAAATTCGAATATTTGCCAAAGTTATTCAAGGTCAAAGTTATTTGTAGCGTTTTAGTAAATAGCTAATTACTCGCGATCGGATGAACCGATTTTAATAAAAATTGGAGGAGAGTTTACCTAAAGAATTGTACTTTAGATAAATGATCAAAATTTTAATTAAAAAATGTAATTTGTTTAAATAAATTAACTTTTTAATTTTTGGGGTTAAAAAAAATTTGTTCTCCATCTTTTTTTTGGATTTTTTTTAAATAATCAAATAGAGAATACTTGTAAGATTTTGTTTCAACAATAAAAAAGTGGGATTCTCTATCACTTTAGAAAATATAATATTTTTAGTTACAAAATTTTTTGAAAAGTTAAAGAAATTTGAAGCAAAACAAATGAATGAACTAAACTTGGTTGGTTAAAATTGTCGAGTTTAGTTCATTCATTTGTTTTGCTTCAAATTTCTTTAACTTTCCAAAAAAATTTGTAACTAAAAATATTATATTTTCTAAAGTGATAGAGAATCCCACTTTTTTATTGTTAAAATAAAATCTTAAAAGTATTCTCTATTTGATTATTAAAAAAAAATCCAAAAAAAAGATGGAGAACAAATTTTTTTTTAACCCCAAAAATTGAAAAGTTAATTTATTTAAACAAATTTTATTTTTTAATTAAAATTTTGATCATTTATCTAAAGTACAATTCTTCAGGTAAACTCTTCTCCAATTTTTATTAAAATCGGTTCATCCAATCGCGAGTAATTAGCTATTTACTAAAACGCTACAAATTACTTTGACCTTGAATAACTTTGGCAAATATTCGAATTTCGGAAAACTATTTACAGGTTTTTATTATACCATCATAGGCTATCGAAACATATAAGAATGAGAAAAATCCACCAACCCAATGAAAAATAGGGGCCCACTTCAGGAATTCTTACCCTTATTTAAATAAAAAAAAATTCAATTTTTTTAAAATTGCAACTGTAACTTTTCTTGTTATTTCTACTTGAAAAAATTATTATAATTATAAATAATTTAAATTTAATTATTTCTATAAAAATTAAAAATTCAATTCTTCTATACAATTATTTTCCAAAATTTTTACTGAAACTCTTTGAATATTAATTTAATTTCTAGAAATTCTACTAAAATTCTTTTATAAATTAATTATCAACTATTTTCAATAATTATTAGAAAATTGTTACAAAATTGATTCGATTATTTAAATAGAAAAATTAATTTTTATTAATTTCAATTTAGTCAAATTTGCAAACATTTTCTTGTTTTCTATTTGAAAAAATTATAATCATAATAATAAATAACTAAAATTCAAGCAAATATAAAAATACATGATTTCTACACAATTTCTTTTTAAATTTTTTATAAAGTGGATGTTTTTTTACAAAATTTTTATTTTATTTCTTAAAGATAATTGAAATTTATTAAAAAATGACATTAAAAATGATGATAAAAAATTCTACTGAATTAGTTTTTTTTAGAAATATTCTAATTTAATTTTTTTTTTTGTACAAAAATTTGCACTAAAAATATTTCAAAAAAGGAAGTTCTTTATAATTTTTAAATTAAATTTCCTCAATATTTAAATTTTCAAAGACTTTAATTTGAAACTAATTTAAAGTAAAAAGTTTAATAATTTATTAATTATTTATTTCTTAAAATGTTTACTAAAAACGCTTTTAATAGTCAATTATTTTAAATCAATTCTCATGAAAAATTTCAACGAGAATTCATTTATTTAAATTCAAAAATAAATCATTTAAGAAAATAAATTGATTAATTTCTAAAAATTGCAACTGTACTTTCTTTTTTCGTTTTTTTTTAATTTTTAAGGTGTTAAAAAAATTAGTAAACAGTAGGTTTAGTAGATGAATGCGAAGCCTGATAATTTCTTTTTGTAGAATAAACCCTTTCTAATAAATTCAAAGGCTATTTTTCAAATTTAGAACATATATTTCAAAAAAAAAATATTTTCTCAATGATAAAATATATTTATTTTTGAGGTAAAATATTTTTATTTTTGAGATAAAATATTTTCTGAATGATAAAATGTTTTTACTTTTGGGGTAAAATATTTTTATTTTGAGGGTAAAATATTTTCTGAATGATAAAATATTTTTACTTTTTGGGGTAAAATATTTTTATTTTTGGAGTAAAATATATTTTTACTTCTAAATAATATATTTTTATTTCGAGATAAAAATATTTTTTGTTCTTTATTATTATTGCAGTTTTTTTTTAAATACTTACCACCAAGTAGTGATTGTATTGAGAGTAAAATCGTGCGCACATCGTATAAAGCACTCCATTTGTCCTTTAAAATATCGAGGCAAATATTGCCAGAAGTGTCGACATTAGGATGAAAGCACTGCGTTGCAAAACGTACAGTTGGCGCACTATAAGGATAACTCTGCGGAAACTCCAGAGACAATTTGTATGTCAAACCAGCATAAACCTACAAAAAAAAAAATTTAATTTAAACCAAAAATTTTCTTTAAACTTTGAATAATTATTAGTATTTATTTTCTACTTAATTTCTAATCAATTACTATTATAATTATAATCCAGAATTTATTCAAAAAATTAAATACCGTGTCAAGAGGTCCTGTAATGGTTCCAATCCATTTAAAAAGATTTTCTCCTTCCGGAAAAGCAGAAACTCCTTTCTCTGAGCTCATCATTAGGACCATCAGTTCTTTTTGAAGTCTGTAAAGTAAATAAATATAACCTTCTGCTTTCGGAAAACGATAACAAGTTTCCTATTTATATTAATATAATTTTTCCTATTCTTCCTTCAAATAATATATATAATTTAATAATTTCTTTAAAAAAATCATTTTTCTGACAATTTTTATTCCTTCTTTTCAAAAAAAAAATAATTTTCACCAAGTAAATAATACTTACTTTCGCAATCCACTAGAAAAATTCTCTATAAACTCACGTTTTGAAAATTTCTTCCAATTTTCGAAATTTCAGAGAAAAATTTAAAAAAGTCTAAATGACAAAAATTATTCTCAAAAAGAAATTAAGTCACGATTTTCAAAAAATTCGCTCAATAAAATTTATGAATCTTAAAAATTTCTAAAAATTACAATTATAACTCTTCTTGAATTCAATTATTTTCTACAATTTTTCAAATAAACTTCATCTCTAAATCAATTATTTTAAATAATTTTTCGAAAGTTCTTCTAGAATTTAATTATTGAAATACAAAAACTCAATTTTTCAAAAATTATTGAAACTGTCCATGTTTTTTTCTTAAGTTATCAAGGAAAAATATTTTCAAAAAATTATAAAAAAGAAATTCTTACAAATTAATATTTTAAAAATATTTTAAAATAATTTTTGAAAGAAATTCTTACAAATTAATTTTTTACAAATATTTTAAAATAAATTTTGAGAGATAATAGTTTTTTAATTATACACAATTAAAAATTTCCAAACAATTGAAATTTGGTCAAATCTTTTCAAAATAATCAAATTTTTGAAGAATTTTAATTATAAATAAGAGCCTTGATTTCTCTGAAATTTTAATAAGTCTTAAAAAAGTAAAATTTCTATAAATTTTTATTTACTTTATTCGAAAATAATTGAATCTTAAAAAAAACTGATAAAACAATTCAAAGAATTAGATTTTAAAAATATGTAATTTTTCGAAAATAACTGAATTTCTTAAAAGAATTTTTGTATAATTTAAAAAAACTAATTAATTTTTTTGATGAATTTCAATTAAAAATTTTGAACATGACTTTTTTTTCTCCAAAAAGATTAAAAATAATTCTAAACTGTTCTTTGAATTATTGAATTGAAAATAATTGAAAATACTGAAAATATTTCATTTTAAAAAATTAGAAACTAATTTTCATTTTTAAATTTAAATTTGTAAAGATTTTTTTATTAAAATTTTTGATAATTCAATTATATTCTCAAAATTTGCAATTATTATTCTTCAAAAGTTGATTTTCCAAAATTGTAACGAAATACTTGAGAAAAAATTATTTTCAATTAAATTTTACAAAATTTCAATTACTCAAAAATTTAATATATTTTGAAAATATTTAATTATCTTGAAAAATGATTCAAAAAATAAATAATCTTTGAAAGATTTGTTTATAGTTATTTTTTGCATTTATAAAAATCGAAATAAGTTGCATTTTATACTAAAAAATTTGGTATTTTGTTGAAATATTTGGAAGAAAAGTCGCAATTTTTGTAAATAAATCGAAAAAAAGTCAATTTACTTAATTTTCCTAACAAAAAATTTTTTTCCTGACACAAAATGCAATTGCTTTCTTGCATAATACGTGTAAACAAAAAGAATGTTTCATGTAATATTCTATCTGACAGATTAAAATATCGAAATTGATTAAATTAGATGCTTCTGAATTTTGAGGTTATGTTTGAATTTACAAGGCCAAAAATAAATACAATACAAAAATTCATGGAGAATATAAAATATTATTTAACCTCCGATTAATTATCAAATATTAATTATCATTTAAAAAATATATAAAATTCTATATAAATACCTTTGATAAGAATAAAAATAATGAAATAAAATTATTGCATTCATTGGCGTACCTTTTGCTTACTGCATGATTATCTTTTGGTAAATTTGGCTTCTCCTCCTTGGCTTTATTTTGAGGATTTTGCGACGAATAAAATGGATTAATGTTTTGTGCCATTCCTATTTTTTAATATTAAGGAGAAAATGAATAAATATCCGAGAATAAAATGAATTCTTGATGATTTTTTTTTAGGACAGATTATATAGTTGTTGGGGAGAAGAAGCACAACAGTTTCACAAACAGTCACTCTCTTGAAATTTGAATGCTCCCTATATTTTTATTGACTTTTCCAAAAACATTATTCAACCTAACAGCTGTTTAAAGCATAACCGCATCGATTTATTTCCCAATTTAATTCAACAACAATGAAATTTTCTATTTTCCCAAAGATTGTTAAATTTGTACTTTGTTTTTTGAAAATTTAACGGAGATAATACACTTTAACACTTGTCCTGCTTGTATTTTGTATTTTTATTTCTTTTTATACTATTTTTTAATTGATAAAATGTCAATATTGTTTATTGTAAAACGGCCTTTAAATGACTTAAGGAATATTTGAGTCACGTGACACGATTGCAATTGCCGATTGGTTATTTATTGAAAACATCCAGGAGTGTATTGAGAAAATTTTTCGGTACAATGTTTCTAAATTTTTCCTTGTCTCACTAATTATACAGTTTATACTCGTTTCATTAATTAGTAATTTAGTAAAAGCAAATACTTTTTGTTGTTCAGTTGGAAAATTTTAATATGAATGGAAAAACTGTGGAAAAATAGGGAAAAAGTTCATTTGGCGCGGGGCGCAGAAATGTTGACGCCTTCACTGGTTACTGACCAACTTCACATCGTTCGAGTTTCATTGTCAACCGCAGAGTTAAAAAATAATGTAAACACACACTTCTTGTTATTTCTTTATAAAAAAAACAGTAAAAATGGGCAAAAGAAAAGCAACAGAAGATTCTGATAATCCAAATCAGGATCTATGTGAATTTTTAACAGGTAAATGTGTAATCTTTTTACTTTGGGTTCAAAAAGTTGTTTCTCGCTTCCTAACCTCAAAATTTTTTTGCGATTCGATTTCGATTTATTATTGTATTTATTGTTTATTATTAAATATTAATATTATTAATAATATAGTTATAGAAAATATAGTAAACAATAAATACTAATATTATTAAATATATTTATTATTAGAAAATGTTGTGATTAAAAGCATTTTTTTCAAATTATTTGCTTTTTGTTTATAATTTTTAATTTTCACGATTTTCACATTATATCTGAGAGAAAAAAATTTAAATACTTTCAGAACTTGCAAATTACGAGCGTAATGTAACAAAAAATATTTATAAATCAAATGCTTATCGTAAAGCAGCAACGACTCTCGGTAAATTATCAGAACGTGTAAAAAATGGAGCGGAGGCGAAAAAATTACCTGGAATTGGCGATAAAATTGCAAAGAAAATTGATGAATTTCTCGAGACTGGAAAATTGCAAAAACTCGAAAATGTACCTGATTTTTTTTATTAATAAAAATTATAAATTAAAAAAAATATATTTTTCTAAAAAGAATAAAAAAAAGAATTATATTAAATATTCGTAAAAAAATAATTTTGTTTCAGATAAAAAAAGATGAGGGAAATGTAGCGATTAATTTATTAACTCGAGTGTCCGGCATTGGTCCAGCGAAGGCCAAAGAATTAGTGGATTCCGGAATAAAAACTTTGGAATCTTTAAAAATTCATCAGGACAAATTAACGCATCATCAGAAACTTGGTTTAAAGTAAGAAAAATCCTTCATTTTTCAAGTTTTTAATTTTTAATTTCAAAAGTAATTTTTCTAGTTTTTATTTATTTATTTTCCGCAGTTATTTTTTGGACTGTAATTAAAATAAAAAAAGAAATTCGAATTTTTTTAAACTCTAAAAGAAATGGAATTTTAATTTCCATTGATATTTTATTTCTTTTAGAGTAAATAAATAAAGAAAATATAAAAAGAAGTAAATAAATAAAATTTAAATAGCAGAAAATAAAGAAAATATAAATAGAAGCAAATAAATAAAATATAAATAGAAAGAAATAAATAAAATTTAAATAGAAGTAAATAAATAAAATATAAATAAAAGGAAATAAATAAAATAAATAATTAGTTAATAAATAAAATATATATTAAAAAAATTGAAATGAAAGTAAATTATAAATAAAAATTTGGAAATATTTTTAAATTTAACAAATTAAAGTAAATTTTAATATTCCAGATATTTCGATAATTTTGAGAAAAGAATACCTCGAGGGGAAATCGAGAAAATCGAGAATATTCTTGAGGACACGATAAATCGTCTCGATGATAAATATTTAATAACAATTTGCGGAAGTTACAGACGTGGAAAAAAAGAGAGTGGCGACATTGATGTTCTATTAACTCATCCAAATTTTACATCGTCCAGCAAGGAATCGAAAAAGAAACAGAATCAATTTTTAAAATCTGTCATTGATTCCCTGGAAAAAGGGAAATTAATCACTGATACCATTTCGCTTGGCGAGACAAAATTTATGGTAATATAAATATCTATAGTTTTAAATTAAATTAATTTTAAAGTTTAATAATTTAAAATTTAATTATTGATCGATAATTGCAACTCTATTATTAAAATTAAATTTATAATTAAAATCAAAATAATCATAAATTTAATATTTTTTTAAATAAATATCTATATTAATAATAATTTTAAAAATCAAATAATTTTTAAATGTTTTCAATTTAAAAATTAATGTACTGAAAATCGTTGAATTCTTGCAAAGTATTTTTGAAAAAAATCTGAAAATAATTGAATTATCATTTCAAGAATTTTATCAACATTTTTTTCACTAATTGAATTTGAGAAAATGAGATTCAAATTGTATATTGAAAATAATTTAATTCTTGGCAAGATTTTTATTAAAATTCTTTAAAATAATTGAAATGTTTCATCGAAGAGTTAATTTCAATTTTTTTTGGAAATAATGGAGTTTTTTTTCTAATAATTTTTACTGAAAATTTTGAAAGTAATTGAATTTTATGAAGAATTTCTTTTAAGTTTTTTAAAATAATCGTGTATATTATTAATTGTAATTAACAATTTTCCTATTAAATTCTATTAAAATTATTCATTGAAAATTAAATTCTTTTAAACAATAATTTACAATTTTATTAGAGTTTTTTTTGTAAATAATTACATTTTTTTTAAGAATTCCATACATTTCGTAAAAATAATGTAATTTTTTTCGATAATTTTCGATAATTTTAGATTTTTTACCAAAGAGCCGAGACTATTTAATAAGTAAAGTATTTTCCAAAAGCACAAAAATAATGAAGCTAAATGCCATAAAAGAGAGAAAAAAATGATGAATTTTAAGAAATTCGGATTTTTGAACTTTTGATAGTTTTCGATAATTTTCGATTTTTTACCAAAGAGTCGAGACTATTTAATAAGTAAAGTATTTTCCAAAAGCACAAAAATAATGAAGCTAAATGCCATAAAAGAGAGAAAAAAATGATGAATTTTAAGAAATTCGGATTTTTGAACTTTTGATAATTTTCGATAATTTTCGATTTTTTACCAAAGAGTCGAGACTATTTAATAAGTAAAGTATTTTCCAAAAGCACAAAAATAATGAAGCTAAATGCCGCAAAGAAGAAGAAAAAATGTTGAATTTTAAGAAATTCGGATTTTTGAACTTTTGATAGTTTTCGATAATTTTCGATTTTTTACCAAAAAGTCGAGACTATTTAATAAGTAAAGTATTTTCCAAAAGCACAAAAATAATGAAGCTAAATGCCATAAAAGAGAGAAAAAAATGATGAATTTTAAGAAATTCGGATTTTTGAACTTTTGATAATTTTCGATAATTTTCGATTTTTTACCAAAGAGTCGAGACTATTTAATAAGTAAAGTATTTTCCAAAAGCACAAAAATAATAAAGCTAAATACCATAAAAGAGAGAAAAAAATGATGAATTTTAGGAAATTCGGATTTTTGAATTTTTGATAATTTTCGATAATTTTAGATTTTTTACCAAAGAGTCGAGACTATTTAATAAGTAAAGTATTTTCCAAAAGCACAAAAATAATAAAGCTAAATACCATAAAAGAGAGAAAAAAATGATGAATTTTAAGAAAATTGGATTTTTGAATTTTTGATAATTTTCGATAATTTTAGATTTTTTACCAAAGATTCGAGACTATTTAATAAGTAAAGTATTTTCCAAAAGCACAAAAATAATGAAGCTAAATGCCATAAAAGAGAGAAAAAAATGATGAATTTTAAGAAATTCGGATTTTTGAACTTTTGATAATTTTCGATAATTTTCGATTTTTTACCAAAGAGTCGAGACTATTTAATAAGTAAAGTATTTTCCAAAAGCACAAAAATAATGAAGCCAAATGCAATAAAAAAGGAGAAAAAATGTTGAATTTTAAGAAATTCGGATTTTTGAATTTTTTATAATTTTCTATAATTTTAGATTTTTTACCAAAGAGTCGAAACTATTAAACAAGTAAAGTATTTTCCAAAAGCACAAAAATAACAAACCTAAATCCCATAAAAGAGAGGAAAAAATGTTGAATTTTAAAAAATTCGGATTTTTGAATTTTTGATAATTTTCGATAATTTCAGATTTTTTACCAAAGAGTCGAGACTATTTAATAAGTAAAGTATTTTCTAAAAGCACAAAAATAATGAAGCTAATTGCCATAAAAGAGAGAAAAAAATGATGAATTTTAAGAAATTCGGATTTTTGAATTTTTGATAATTTTATATAATTTTAGATTTTTTACCAAAGAGTCGAAACTATTAAATAAGTAAAGTATTTTCCAAAAGCACAAAAATAACAAACCTAAATCCCATAAAAGAGAGGAAAAAATGTTGAATTTTAAAAAATTCGGATTTTTGAATTTTTGATAATTTTCGATAATTTCAGATTTTTTACCAAAGAGTCGAGATTATTTAATAAGTAAAGTATTTTCTAAAAGCACAAAAATAATGAAGCTAAATGCCATAAAAGAGAGAAAAAAATGATGAATTTTAAGAAATTCGGATTTTTGAATTTTTGATAATTTTATATAATTTTAGATTTTTTACCAAAGAGTCGAGACTATTAAATAAGTAAAGTATTTTCCAAAAGCACAAAAATAATGAAGCCAAATGCAATAAAAAAGGAGAAAAAATGTTGAATTTTAAGAAATTCGGATTTTTGAATTTTTGATAATTTTCTATAATTTTAGATTTTTTACCAAAGAGTCGAGACTATTAATTAAGTAAAGTATTTTCCAAAAGCACAAAAATAATGAAGCCAAATGCAATAAAAAAGGAGAAAAAATGTTGAATTTTAAGAAATTCGGATTTTTGAATTTTTTATAATTTTCAATAATTTTAGATTTTTTACCAAAGAGTCGAGATGATTAAATAAGTAAAGTATTTTCCAAAAGCACAAAAATAACAAACCTAAATCCCATAAAAGAGAGGAAAAAACGTTGAATTTTAAAAAATTCGGATTTTTGAATTTTTGATAATTTTCGATAATTTCAGATTTTTTACCAAAGAGTCGAGACTATTTAATAAGTAAAGTATTTTCCAAAAGCACAAAAATAATGAAGCTAAATCCCATAAAAGAGAGGAAAAAACGTTGAATTTTAAAAAATTCGGATTTTTGAATTTTTGATAATTTTCGATAATTTCAGATTTTTTACCAAAGAGTCGAGACTATTTAATAAGTAAAGTATTTTCCAAAAGCACAAAAATAATGAAGCTAAATGCCATGAAAGAGAGAAAAAAATGATGAATTTTAAGAAATTCGGATTTTTGAATTTTTGATAATTTTCTATAATTTTAGATTTTTTACCAAAGAGTCGAAACTATTAAATAAGTAAAGTATTTTCCAAAAGCACAAAAATAATGAAGCCAAATGCAATAAAAAAGGAGAAAAAATGTTGAATTTTAAGAAATTCGGATTTTTGAATTTTTTATAATTTTCAATAATTTTAGATTTTTTACCAAAGAGTCGAGATTATTTAATACGTAAAGTATTTTCTAAAAGCACAAAAATAATGAAGCTAAATGCCATAAAAGAGAGAAAAAAATGATGAATTTTAAGAAATTCGGATTTTTGAATTTTTGATAATTTTCGATAATTTCAGATTTTTTACCAAAGAGTCGAGACTATTTAATAAGTAAAGTATTTTCCAAAAGCACAAAAATAACAAACCTAAATCCCATAAAAGAGAGGAAAAAATGTTGAATTTTAAAAAATTCGGATTTTTGAATTTTTTATAATTTTCAATAATTTTAGATTTTTTACCAAAGAGTCGAGATTATTTAATAAGTAAAGTATTTTCTAAAAGCACAAAAATAATGAAGCTAAATGCCATAAAAGAGAGGAAAAAATGTTGAATTTTAAGAAAATCGGATTTTTGAATTTTTGATAATTTTCGATAATTTTAGATTTTTTACCAAAGAGTCGAGACTATTTAATAAGTAAAGTATTTTCCAAAAGCACAAAAATAATGAAGCTAAATGCCATAAAAGAGAGAAAAAAATGATGAATTTTAAGAAATTCGGATTTTTGAACTTTTGATAATTTTCGATAATTTTCGATTTTTTACCAAAGAGTCGAGACTATTTAATAAGTAAAGTATTTTCCAAAAGCACAAAAATAATAAAGCTAAATACCATAAAAGAGAGAAAAAAATGATGAATTTTAGGAAATTCGGATTTTTGAATTTTTGATAATTTTCGATAATTTTAGATTTTTTACCAAAGAGTCGAGACTATTAAATAAGTAAAGCATTTTTGAAGAGCACAAAAATAATGAAGCTAAATGACATAAAAAAGAAGGAAAATTGTTGAATTTTAAGAAATTCGTTTTTTTTAATTTTTGCTAATTTTTCAATAATTTTAGTTCAGAAAACAATTTCATTAAAAATTATTGAAAATAATTGAGTTTAAATAATATTTTTGAAAATAATCGAATTTAAATAATATTTTTGAAAATAATTGTATTTTTTTGGGAAAAGTGAATTTTTTAAATTTTGAAACTTGAATCATTCAAGAATTGTTGTTTATTCTTGAAAATATAAAATATAAAATTTTTAATTCCACAGGGAGTTTGTAAATTACCCACTGAAAAAGGAGCCACATTCAGAAGACTAGACATAAGACTCTCTCCTTATGATCAATATTATTGTGCAATATTGTACTTCACCGGAAGTGATTTGTTTAATAAGGAAATGCGTGCTCATGCGTTGGAAAAAAAATTTACACTCAATGAATACACATTGCGACGTTTGACGCCAGAAGGTAAATAAAAATTCCATACACTCATTTTCTTTTTTTTTTTATTTAGAAAAGAAAGAAAAATATTAAAAATTAAATTACAAATGATTCCAGGAGTTCCAGGAGAGGCGGAAAAAATTACCAGTGAGAGGGATATTTTTAAAATTCTCAATTATCCCTACAAAACTCCGGAGGAGAGAGACAATTAATTTTCCCAAATTTAGAAAGAAATTCTGAGCTTAAAATTTGAAAATAAAATTTTCAGGTACGTTGCAAAAAATTAATAACTGGAAATTAAAGAGATTGGTTGAAACTCGAATAATTAAAGTTTGCTGATTGAAAATCGAAAAGTTTTTGTAATTCGAATTGAAGATTAAATTAAATTCAAATATCTTGAAGAGTAATATATACTTAGAAAGTTAATATTTCGTCAAAAAAGAAAATTATTCTTATGAAATAAAAACTAAAATTAAAAAATTAATATTGAGTGGAATAAGAAATAAAAAGTACACGTGATAAATTTGCCAAAATACTGTATATTAATAAGAAGTTTGGTACAATTCAAAAACTTGAAACTAAAATATATTTTTTCTCATATAAATAAAAAATAAATTCATGTACATAATCTAGTAACGTTTAATTATAAAAACCGAGCTTCTAATTCTCTTTAGGAAGATTCTCTTTTTAATTTCATTTTTTTTTTTTTTGTTTTTTTTTTTGTTCTTAAATACTTAAAATAATATCTTTTCTATAAAGTAAATAGGCTATGAAACCCCAAAGAACGGTTGTCCACAAATTCATCAGTAAGAAGAAAGAGTGCGTCGACGGTCCCGCAATATTCCAAGCGAATGGAAAAAGATCCTTCATCAAATAATGTCCGACGTAGAGTAAAATTGGATTTGCTCCTAAATGAAAAAGTGAGTCCAATTAATTATCAATTTATTATTTACATCTCAGAAATATTCTCTGAATTATAAAAGAACAGAGAAATCGGGGAAAAACAAAATCAAATTTTTGTGAAGAAGAATATTTTTGAATTAATGTAGAATTTCTTTTAAATAATAATTAACAAACCTGCATAAATAAAAGGCGCGCCGTTCCAATATTTTTTGTGATCAATCAATAAATGAAGAATTGCAAATAGAAGGAATGCAAAAGAAGTAGTGGCGAGAATATACGATAGAGACATCATATTCTTATTTATTGGAATGACGCCATCTTCCTTTTGGAAATTGCATAATATTCCGGCAATCAGACCCTGGAATTTAAATTTAATCAAATTAATTAATAATAATTAAAATTTGAAATTCTTTGATCGAATTTAAATTTAAAATTGAAATTCTTTAATCGAATTTAAATTTAAAATTGAAATTCTTAAATCGAATTTAAATTTAAAATTGAAATTCTTTAATCGAATGTAAATTTAAAATTGAAATTTTTTAATCAAATTTAAATTAAAATTCTTTAATCGAATTTAAATTTAAAATTAAAATTGTTTAATCGAATTCAAATTTCTTATAAGAATTATAATTAACGAAAAAAAGTACCGTGACGGCGGACCACGCAAGCCAACGGATTAATTTTGAACTGCATTGATAGTAGGTGAAAAATATTCTGCCAGCGTGAACTCCCAAATAGACAATCAAAACTGCCGACAATGTGTTCATCAAACCTATAAATTAAATTAAAAAAAAAAAAAAAAAAAAAAAAAAAGACTTTAAATATAAAGAAAGACTCTAAACAAGAACAGGGCTCGAACCAGTGAAAGTATTTAAAAATACGGGACTGTAAATTAAATTTTTTCATAATAATAAATAAATATATTTAATTTTTTAACAATATTGTTAAATATATTTAAATTTTTAACAATATTGTTAAATATATTTAATTATTGAAAATTTTGATAAATATATTTAATTTTTTAACAATATTGTTAAATATATTCAATTCTTTACCAATATTGTTAAATATATTTACATCTTTAAAAATATTGTCAAATATATTTAATTCTTTGAATATATTTGTTAAATATATTTGAAAGATTAATTGAATTTAAATTAGAAAGCAATAACTCACCCTCTGGATCATGAGGCAATGTGTGACGATAAAGTGGATTTTCTGTTTTATTGTACATATGATTGCCGAAAATTTCCCTATCAATATAGCCAGCTGCGCCTGCAGTGCAATTAACGTATTTTCCCCGACGATGACATCCACCGGGTCCAAAATAACCTTGAGGACATCCGGGTACCGGAAGTAAAAATATCAATAAAGTATGCAATGTCGTGAGTCCAGTAATAAATAACCATTGCGGCCAACTATCAAAAATATCCGAAAGAAATACTAATCGGCCGTACTGCAAAAAAATCTCCTGCAAGATTATTATTACACTCCTTCTGTTTCATATTATTATGCAAACTAGAACATTTTTTATTTTCTTCAATATAAATTTCAATTCTTGAATAAATTCGGATTCGAAAAATTAAAAAATTCACTTATTAAATATAGATTAATTAATTATTATTCTATATTATTTTCAAAGAGTTTAATTAAATTCTTCGGAAGAATTCAATTATTTTCGAAATTTTTAATTAAATTCTTCGGAAGAATTCAATTATTTTCGTCAATAATAATATTCTTCGGAAAATTTTCAATTATTTTTAAAAATAGTAAAATTCTTTGCAAGAATTCAAAGATTTTCAATAAATTAATTTTTAAGATTGTAAACATCAAAATCAAATCACAAAGCTAAGAATTAAGTTAAATTGAAATTTTACCTGAAAGCTTCTTTGTGGTTTTAGAAAAACAGTTTCCAATGCCCCGCAAATAAAGAATGTAATAGCCAAAAGTTGTAGAATTCCAGGAAATCGTAAATTCCATAAAGTATATTTTTTCTGTCCATACGAATTTATCATTAATCCCAGAAAAATTAGAATCAACGATCGTCGCATTAATCTGAATAATATTCGTTTTCGTGAAATTGATAGCTGCAGACTCAATCGAATTGATTTTACAATCATAAATCCCATAATCCAAGCAAACCTGAGAAGCAAATTTTTCAATATTATAGATTCAAAATTTGAGTATTAATTTTCATAATTAAACAATTTTATGGTTTTAATTATATTTGTTTTTTTAATTCACTTTTTGCGAATTTAATTACCAAGGCAAAACTACATCGGCAACAGTGAGACCATTCCATGGACTGTGTTCGAAAAAGTAATATTTCCCTCCGCCATTATTCATGAATATCATCAGTAAGATGGCAATTCTGAAAAGTATTTTTGATTAATTGGAAAGTAAAATTAATTTTTTCAAAAATAATACAATCTTGTGTGATGAGAGAGTAAATCGATCGATAAATTCTATTTTAAACTAAAAAGAGAATAATTTGAAAATTACCCTCGGAATGCGTCGACCGATTTTAATCGCGATGATGTTTTCGTAACGCTAATTAATCCTGGCGAATTGTCCGAATCTTGTAATCTCTCTTGATCCTGGAAGAAAAAGAAAATTTTTATCTACTTCAGTCAAAATGAAATAAAAATATTCATCTCTAATAATAAACATATTTAATTTGCTCATGAGTATTTTGCTCTTTTTGAAATTTATAACTTACATTGTCAATACCGTTTTCTCGTTGTCGAAAAAGTTTTATAGTTTTTATTATCATTTTCGAAGTCTTGAAAACAGTGGCAACCAGAAGAAACATCATAAACGCTGCCAAAATCGCTGGAAAATAAATAAAATTCAGTCAGAAAATTGTCTTCAATTAAAAATATTTTTCTTCTGTAATTTAGAATCTGAATTAAATTTTTTTTTTGGGTAAATGTTATAAATTATAAAAATAATTGGAAGCTTGGTAAGAATTTTATTAAAATTTTCGAAAATAATTGAATTTTCTGTGAGGAATTTAATAAAAACTGAATAGGAAATATTTCAATCCTCATAAAGAATTTAATCAAAATTTTTCAAAATAATTCAATTTCTGCGAACAATTTTGTTATTTAGGAAAAAATTAAATTTTTTCAAAGTAAATTTTTCAAATTAAATTATTTTTCTTATAAAAAATTTTATTGAAATTTTTCGAAATAATAAAATTTTTGCGAAGAACTTTATTAAAATTTTTTAATTTAATCAAATTCCTGCAAAGATTTTGATTAATTATGCAAATTCTTTTTCTTATATAAAAATTTTAATTGAAAATTTTTAAAATAATAACATTTTTGCGAAGAACTTTATTAAAATTCTTTAAAATAATTACATTCCAGCGAAGAATTTTATTTATTAATTCAATTCTCGCTAAGAATTTAAATAAATTTTTGGAAAATAAAGAAATTAATCAAAATTTTTTTCCAAATAATCCTACGAAGATTTTGATTAATTAATTCAATTCTCGCTAAGAATTTAAATAAACTTTCGAAAATGAAAAATTTACCTAATCAAAATTTTTTTAAATAATTGAAATTCTGCGAAGAATTTTATTATTTACGAAAAAATTAACCTTTTTCTATATTTAATTAAAAAAATAATAAAATTCTTGAGAAGAAATTTTTTAAAATTGTTTAAAATAATTAAAATCCTGCAAAAATTTTGATTAATTATGCAAATAATTCAATTCTCCTAAATAATTTTATTAAAATTTGTCAAAATAATTGAATTTCTGTGGAGAATTTTATTAAAATTATTTAAAATTATTAAATTCCTGCGAAGAGTTTTGTAAATTATGAAAATAACTGAAATCTCGCTAAGAATTTTTATTAAAATTTTCGAAAATAATTGAATTTCTGCGAGGAATTTAATTAAAATTTCTATAGAAAATATTTCAATTCTCATAAGGAATTCATTCAAATTTTTTTTTAAAATAATTGAATTATTTTGAGAAATTTTATTGAAAATTATTGAATTCCTGCGAAGAATTTTATTAAACATTTTAATAATTTTATGATTAAATTTTATAAAAATTATTGATACAGAAAATTAAATTCTTTTGAAGAATATCTTTAAATTTTTCGGAAATAATGTGGATTTTTAATAATTTTAATTAAAAATTTTGAAAATAATTGAATTTCACGAAGAATTTCTCGTAAATTTTTTAAATTATTGTAATTAAAAATTTGTATCATTCAATTTTATTAAAAATACTTAAAGATAATTGAATCTTTTCGAGAAATTTTGTTTATGAGGATTTTATAGTCTTGCGAAGAATTTTATTATTTATGAAAATAATTAAATTCTTGCGAAGAATTTTATTATTTACGAAAATAATTGAATTCTTTCGAAGAATTTTATTAAAATTTTTGAAAATAATAAACAATTAATTACTGGTTAATTAGGGGCCGTACACATAATACGTCACGCGTCTAGGGGGAGGGAGGGGGTCTGAGAATTGTGACTGAGTGTGACATGGGGGAGGGGGGGGGGTGAACTCATGTGTTACGTCACAATCTTTTAAATTCAAAGATTATAAGAAATTATATGTGACAATGTCACTTTTTCTAAATAAAACAAGTTAAAAATGCTTTAAACTATTTAATATCTATTATGTACCTGTTTAACATCTATTGGCATATTATTTATAATATGATGATAAATAATATATTCTCTTAATTTGAATCAGTTAAAAATCATGGTTTTAACTGACAATCAGTAGTGACTGACTTTTTGCTTCTGAATCAGTTAAAAATAACTGAAAAATTATCCACAAAACACCGAAATTTTTCTAAATATTGTATATTAAAGATTTGCTTGCATAATTCGAAAAATTTACTTGCAAAGTTTATTTTAAAATTGTGTAAAGATTTAAATTTCTCACTCCAATAAATGTCTATCGTCAAATTTTCTTAAAAATATAGCTTGAAACTTTCCTGAACATTTGAATTGCATTTTCGACTATACTTTCGTGAAAATTTTCCTGAAAATTTAACTTAAATTTTCAGGAAAGTTTCGCGCTACACATTTATTGAAGTGGGATATTTAAATCTTTACACAATTTTCACTAAACTTTGCATTTAAATATTTCAAAGCTTAATTGCGAGTAAATCTTTAGTAAATTTTTAGGAAAGTTTCGGTGCTATGTATAGGTAGTTAAACGTGACTAATTGAATCAATCAAAAACAATTGTATTGAAACATCAGTTATTTTCAACTAATTGTCAGAAAAAAAATATTACTATTTGAATTAGTGACTGACTTTTTGCTTCTAAATCAGGTATTTTTAACTGCGATTCAATAATTTATAGTGTAAGATATAATATATATATTGTCCAATGTATAAAATTTACAGTGAAATTTACGTGTGTGACGTGACGTAGGGGGAGGGAGGGGTTCAAGGTTTGCGACGAAGTGTGACATAGGGGGAGGGAGGGGTTAAAAAGGGTCCAAAATCGCGTGACGTATTATGTGTACGGCCCCTTATTATTAATTACACTGATTAAGTGAATTGTTTAAATTTTGATTCTGAAATTATAATAATAATAATCGGAATTCCGTATTTCCCTCGCGTAACTTTTGCTGGTTGAATTTAAAAAAAAATAGTGAAATATCAAACTTTACTAACGTAGATAAGGATTCCAGGAATCATATAAAGTATAAATAGAGGAACATCCTCCTCTTTCGTCCGTAATATTCCATCCGTAATGTCCATACTGTTTAAAGTTGAAAGTGTCACTAAAAAAAAGCGAAATTAATTTTTGCAATATTATTTTTCCTAATGAAAAAAAATAATACTCACTGACACCATTCGTAACCTTTCGAATCCCTGTAAAAAATGTGTAACGGCAATTTTGCATCAGCAACAAGTGTCGTGTTGCTGTGAGGCGTCAAATTTCCCCATTTCAATCCTTCGCACTGAAAATTTTTTTAAAAGTTTAATTTAAAAATCTTGTTAAACATAAAAAAAATTAAAATTAAAATTATTTTTTAAAATTAAATAAAATTAAATAAATCAAAATCGAAAGTAATTAAAACTCACATTTACTACGTAGCAATCGTTAATAACTGAATATAATGTTAAATTTTCCGGAGTATCATTAATGACACTGAAACAAGCTTGATCTATTCCAAGAGATAAATTTTTGTTGAGGCACGGATTGTCTTCGTCATTATTTATCACTGTTAACATTTTTTCCTCTATTTATTTTTTTCTTAAGACCAGCTTAATTTTTCAAATCCAAATGGCGCAAATCTGCAGAAAGATAATAAATTAGTATTCTCGCTGAATTTAAAACAATAAACTACTTTTCAAAGTTTGTTAATAATTTTCACACTGACAATTAAATCAAAAATATTAATAATAATAATTTTTAAATAAAAGTAGACCAAAAATCAATTCTTAATACAATTTCTCTTTGTCTACTTACGATAAATACTTTACGTGTATTTTACATACAAAAAAATATCATAAATATTTTAATCCTTTTAATAAAACGCAATATATGTTAGCAATTATTTTTTTTGACAATAAAATGAAAAGTATTCATATATTTATGCAGATCAATCATTATAAATAATCTTTGAGAGATAAATAGACTTTTGCGTTTTATGTCAAAACAAAGAAACTTTAAGGTTAGGAATTGAAAATTGGAAATAAAACAGCAAAAAAGAGAAATTTGGCTGAAAAAATACAAAATCTAGAATAAATATTTAAATTTATTATAATTTCTTACGTCTATTGTAATCATCACCCCACTGGAATTCAATAATTTGGCGAATATTCGCAACTCCAGATTTCGCCTGTCAAACGATACTTGTCATCGCCATTGTTATGATTTGATAAAGAAAAGGAAAACGAGGAAAGCAGAAAGTGCAATTTTGTAATTAGTTGGTGGTACCGAGTCTATCACCAATTAATTAGCCTTTTTTTCGAGAAAAGATGCATTAAAAATTAAACACTATTGTCATTAATAGCAATTTTGTAATTTTTAATTGTTTTTTTTGTTCTATTTATTGAAATTGACAATGAGAGGTAAATTTCGTAATTCAAATAAGCGCGCGCTTTTTGACAAGTCTGCGTAGGGAATACTTGTGAATTCGCCTTAATGGTTAGTGACTATTTTTATCTTACGTTGGCACTCCTGATTATTTCACTGTTCGGCTTTGAGTCGTTGAGTCGTTTGATTGTCGCTTGTGTTTAACGAATATTTATTATTTAAATTCACATCCCAAAATATATATATTTCGTTTTAGTAATTAAATGCTATCTAAATAAATAACATTTCGATTAAATTTGTTATTCGGCTAGAAAATATAAGTTAAATTTTCAAGTTAATTTTTTATTTTTTGGCGTAGTGAGTTAGTGACTGTAGTTTGCCATTGTTTCATTTGACAACTTACTGTGAGTATTTTTCAATATTAATTCGATGAAATTGCAGAGAATAACATTTTCAGGTAAGAATTTAGAATTAATTTGGTTTATTTCTAATATTTAACGTTAAAAAAATCGATAAATAATTTTCCGTTGACATTTTAAATATAAAATTCCTGCGTACTGCGCATGCTCAGTAGGTAACTTTGAAATTTTTTTCGTTTTACACATTAATTTAATTATCATTACGTAAAGTATTATTTACCGGGTGAAAAATAATGACAAACGTTATTTTTTGCTATAGTGAACGAAATAATTTAGAATCGGAAAATATTATTTTCAATTGAGAAATTCTTTGCGCATGCATTACAAATTTTCGTTACAAATCTAATTTTTCGAGATTTGAATCTCAAAAATAATCAGATTTGTAAGGAAAATAAAAATATTTAATTATTTACTTGAAAATTAAGGAACATTTGATAAATTTGCGTATTTAAATATAAATATTTATTAATTTTCTATTCTTTTACGAGAAATATTGATAAAATTGTATTCAAGATATTTGAAAATTGGCGCCATCTTGATTTTCATTTTTCGAACGTTGGCAACAGTGACTTGCTGTACGGCGCAGACGCCAGCGTCATTTCCTTTGTTCAGTCGGAGCAAAATGTTCATCTCTCCCACATCTTATTGTTTTTGTTTCTAAAATTGTGTTTTAACAGTGATATTTTACTAAAATCGCCCGAAATATAGAAAAAAATCTAATAAAATAGAATACATTTGTGCAAACGCAATCAGTGCATTGATGGAATAATTGTGAGTGGATTTCTTTTCTGACGAGTGTCATCACGTGACTTTTCTCATTGTTCCCGCTCTTGGTAAGCAGAAATAAACTAAATTTTCTTATACTTTTACATTTTTTCACTCGATTAAATATTCTTTTCCAATATTTTTATTGTTTCGTGCATTTTATTTTTCGACAATTTAGTATCTACATAACCTAAAATTTCACGTCATTTGTCAACTCGTCGCATAAATTGACGTGTATTTCGACAAAGTTTTTGCTTATATTTCTTTCCCATTTTGATTTTTTTCCTAAATTATCCAATTTCAAGCATTTAAGTGACTAAATTAAGTGAAATTGCCAATTAACTGCAGAAATATTTGTTCAATTTTTAGAAAAATTTCTTTGCAATATTGAGCGAAATTTTTAGGTTATGTTCATTGTACGAAAAGAAATATTTTAATTTTGCAGTAATTCGGTAAAATTGAAGAAAATAGGTGATTAAATTGTGAAAAAGGGAAAATAATTTCGGTTTGGAAAAAGTTATTTTCAATTGAAAAATTATTTTGCGTTGCGCATGCGCCACAAGTCACGTGACTGTTTAAATTACAAATCTCATCGTATTTTCATGAATTTTACTTAATATTGAATTATTAATTAAATCTAAAATTTGTTTAAAAATATTTTCTTTATTTATATTTGTATGGAATATATTTAAATATGTTTTATTGAAATTATGTATTTAGTTTTTAAACTATATTTACAAAATTGAGGAAAAGAGAAATGTGTTGCTATTTTGATTCATATTCGTCAAAGGTTGGCAACAATGACGCGCAGCTGCGTCATTTCCTTTGCGCATAATTCGAACTGATTGTCAATCACCCGCGTTTTTTCAAATTCAAAAACATATTTTGTTTATTTATGATTTAGAGATAAATTATAAAAAGATTTTTAGATTCACACCTTTATGAAAATTATTCCTTTTTCCAAAAAAATGCCATTTTTTTCAAAGATCACTTTTTGAATAAAATTAATAATTTTGTTTAGAATTGAGCGTCAAGACCATTTTTGTTTTTAAGACAAAAATTATTTTATGATTCAGAGATGATGTATAAACAAATTTTCAGTGAAACTCCTTTTACGGAAATTATTCATTTTATAGAAAAGTGCTATTTTTTTTAAAATGCACTTTTTGAATAAAGTGAATAATTTTTTTTTAAATTCAATTATTTTCGCAAAGTTACATTAAAATACTTATAAAAATTAATTCTTATAGAATTGTTTTATTATAATTTTTTAAGATTCAATTATCTTCGAACAAAGTAAATAAAAATTTATAGAAATTTTACTTTTTTAGACTTTGGAATTTCGGAGCATTAATTTATTATAAATACTTCAGTTTTAATAATATATTATTAATGCATGTTTATAAAAATTTATCGACTCCTTGAATAATTGTGGAAAGTGGAACTTGTAAAAGAGGCTGCACTTAGATTTATATACACATCTCTCTTTGACTTCTAAATGATGTATATTGACTTTCATTTAATTCCGAAGCTTAAGTTTGGAAAAGCGAAATGAACTTGAAGTTTACACTCCAGTAAACACTGATCATCACCTTATCGTTACCAGTAATTTATCTAATTGCAGATAATCACATAGGAATTTCTCTGTCAAACTTTTACTCCACGCTACTTGTAATAAGTAGATTATTACTTGTCTAGACTGGTGCAAGAGAGAGAGAGAGAGAGAAAGAGAGACAAGAGAGAGTATTTCCTGTGTGTAACATAATTATGCATTTACGTCCTATGAATTTAAAACCGAAACTATTTGTCTCAAATTATTGACTTTAATTTTTAAATTAGAGTCTTCATATTAGTAACTTTTGTTATATTTCTTTCCTACTTGTTAGCTTTAAAGAATCTTTTCGTTTCATTTTCAATTTCTCTCTTGTTTAAAGAATCTTGTTTCATTTTTCTTCATTACAATTTCTTTACACAGTTTTCGTAAATTCTTCAATTAAATAAATGCTAAACAATAAAAACTTCAAATAATATTTAAAAAATTCAATAAGAATTTTTCAAAAAAATTTATTTCAATAATTTAGTAATTTTTAAAAATTTCAGCTATATTGCTTTTAATATTCTATTATCTGAAACTTGAACTGAAATTCATTTTTATGAAATGAAAATCAATTTTTATTGAAAAATTCTACTAGAATTCAATTACATGTATAAATACAAATAAAATGCAAATAAATAATTTATTCAATAATTTCTTAAAAGGAATTTAATTAAGATTTTACTAAAATTTATTATATTAAAAATTAAAAAATTTTATAATAATTTCAGGAAATTATTGAAAACTCTTTGAAGAATTTTATTAAAGTTTTTAAAAATACTTAAATTCCTAAGAAGAATTTATGAAAATAATTGAATTCATGCGGGAAGAATTTTATTAAATATTGTGTGAATAATTGAAATTTAAAAAAAAGTTTATTACCATTGTTGACAATAATTTAATTCTTGAGAAGAATATCGCTATCTATTTATAAAGATAATTTAATTCTTGACGAGAATTTAAAAAAAATTTTGAAAATAATTTAATTTCTGCAAAGTATTTCATTACTTTTCAAAAGAATTGAATTCTTGTGATGAATTTTAATACTTATGAAAATAATTGAATTTTGGAAAAGAATTTTATTAAAAATTCCTTAAAATAATTGATTTTATCGGGAGAATTTTGTTGTTTATCAAGATAATTGAATTATTTTGCAGAATTACTTGAAATTTTTTGAAAATAATTGAATTTCTAAATGAAATTTTATTATTTATGAAAATAATTGAAATTTTATGAAAATAGTAAATTTTGAAAATCATTGAATTACGAAAAACTTTTGAAAATAATTGAAAGTATATGCAAAGAATTTTATTTAAATTTTTGAAAATAATTGAATTTTTGGTGAAAAATTTTGCTATCTTTAAGGATAATTAAATTTTTGACTAGATATTCAACGAAATTTAATAAAATTTTTAAGAATAAATTCATTTTTCGAGAAATTTGATTAAAATTGCATTAAAAATTATTGAAATTCTGCAATGAGTTTTATTTGTGAAAATAATTGAATCCCCAAGAAGAGTTTTATTACTTTTGAATAATATTTAATTTTTGCGAAGAATATTATTATTACTCTTGAAAATAATTGAATTTTTGCAATAATTTGTAACTTTTACAGAATTTAATTTTTGTTTTCGTGTTTTTAACTAAACATCTTCTATAAATCCATTATTTTTAATAGTATAATTTTTGCAAAAGTTCTTTAAGAATTTAAAATTTATTAATATGTTTAACTGAAATTAATTTTTAAATCAATTTTTATTATAGAAAATTCTTCTAGAATTCAATTATATAAATACAAATAAAATGTAAATAAACAATTTATTGAATAATCCAATGTTTCTTAAAATTTAATTCTCATAAAGAATTTTATCAACAAATTTTTAAATAATTGAATTCTTTTGACTAATTTCAATAAAATTTTTAAGAATTACCTTTTTCGTGGAATTCGATTAAAATTTTATTAAATATTTAAATTCCGCAATGAGTTTTATTATTTATGAAAATAATTGAGTTCATAAAAATAATTTTATTATGTACGAAAATAATTGAATGCCTGTAAAAATTTTTTATTATCTATAAAAATAATTGAATTATTG